CTCCCAGCCCTCTTGCTGGTATGTGGTGACTGGACATCCAGTCAAGCTATGAAACCTTTAAAACTGCTTCACCACATGGAGATCAAACTTTAAAAGAGAAGCCTTCAGAATTTTTCAGAAGAGAAAAAAGTGTGAATATAAAGAACAGAAGCAATTATTAAAGGCCACCACTTCATCAAATGTATCTGCTCTGAGAACATCATTCTTAGAGACTAACTGTATTGCTACAGCTAAGAAGCCCTTTACTTTTGGTGAAGAGCTGATCTGCCCGCTGCTAAGGACATTTGTGGTGAACTTTTAGGATAGACTGCAGTTCAAAAGCGTATGTTCCTCTTTTGGCTACCACCACAAGATGAATTAATCAAAAAGGAGAGAATATTGAGCCACACTTTTTAGGGGACCAATGAGTCACTGTGGTATGTAATCCAGGTTGGCAAGTCTAACGATGTTGATAAGACAACAATTCTTGTTTTTGTTTGCTACATTTTTAGGAAGATGTGCATGAAGATAGGTTTATGTGCACTTTTGTTGCCAACTAACACCCCAGCTTCAGAACTATTCAATGATTACACATCACAAACATAGAACTGATTGTTTTGTGATGGTATATAGATGAGTGGAACAGCTTCATCACTGGACAGCTTTTTGGTTTCACTACTTGGGTCAAAGAAGCCGCTTCTCAATGAGTCTACGTCCATACAAAAAGGCTGGCTAGCTGAAAAATGTCACCTAAACTTAACATTTTGCAGGATGTGATTAAAATTATCAACCACTTTAAAGGGCATGCCCTTATATCTGTTCATGGAGCTCTGCGAGATGGATGCAGAGCACACATATCTTATACACAGAAGTGAGATAGCTTTCTAAAGATAGATCACTGGCCAGAGTTTTTCAATTACAAGAGCCACCCCAGAGATATCTTTTAGAAAAAAAGTCACTACTGATATCACATTTTAGTGACATAGGTCACAAAACTTGCTTACTCATGTGACATACTCAACCTGCTCAGTGAACTCAATCTGTCACTTCAGGGGAGAATGACAACTGTGTTTAAACTGGCAGATAAAGTGGCTGCATTCAAAGCCAAACTGGAATTACAGGGGCAGCTGTGAACATTGAGATTTCTGACATGTTTCAAACATTAGCAGAGATTTTGAAAGGAACTGAGCCAGAGCCTTCTCTCTTCCACCTGATGCATGACCACCTATCTTAGCATTCAAGTTTGAGCATAACTTTCCAACTACAAAAGACCCCCAAACTGGAAAGGAATGGACCTGTGACCCCTTGGTGAATAGGTGAACTTTGTGCTAGACGAGGATCAACTACTTAAAATCCCAAGTAATGGTGCTCTTAAAGTTATGTTTGAAGTCACTTCAAGTCTCTAAACATTCTGGGTTAAAGTCAAGGTGGACCATCCTCAGACTGCCACAAGAACACTGAAAAGCTTGCTTCTGTTTCCACCATCCCATCTGCAGTGACAGCAACCAAAACAAGATTACAGAATAGACTGGATGTAAGCAACAGACTTTGGATGTTATTGTCTCCCATCATCCCCAGACTAGTTGGAAGAAAACAAGCTCAGGGCTCCCACTCATTCTGCATCGTGGTTATTTATATAATTATTCCATTGTATACATGTAACAATAAAGTACACAATAAATGTAATGTGTTTGAATCATCCTGTAACTACTTCCTACCCCCAACTCCTTGGTCCGTGGAAAAATAGTTTTCCACAAAACTGGTTCCTGGTGCCAAAAATCTTGGGGATGGATGCTTTAGGAAGTCTTGTATTATACATGAAAAAAATCTTAGTTTCTACTATTCCGACATTTCAGACTGCTTTGGCTCAAATTTCTTCAATTATTTATATAATTGAAAAAAACTGCAAGATTGACTAGGGGTCATTAACATCATCTTTGGGAGGCTGCTTTTAAATTACCATGTAATTGTAGGTTGTCACATTTTTGTATTTCAAATAAATTTATATAGGAAATATAATTATAGCTCTTAGATTCTAGACTCTGGCCATTAGGTAATTTAAGCTGGCTCTTTCTTTTGCAACTTCTTAGGAGCATAACATAAACCAGGAATGGTATTTCTCATCAGTCCCAGCTGGTAATTCGAATTGTCCCATGATTTCACAGCTGCAAATCAGCCCCACCCACTCACATTTGTTTTGGGCTAATGATGCTTTCCTTAATTAGCACATGACTTAAACTTTCTTCCAGACTTATCTGTTGCTTTAGTCCTTGGGCCTAAGTACAGGATGGCCTAATTGGGAAAGAAAGCTTGATGAGCAAGGCTGCCATTTGCTGAATTTGCTTTCTTAACTTACTTTCTCTGACTTCCTTTCCCTGCAATCTAGTCTTAGGTCTAGGCTTTATACCGGGGGTATAGTTTTCATTTTTATGGTTTTTACACCTTCACCAACTTGGAAATGACCACTAGGAAAAGACACAAGGAGCTACGGCTTATCTAAACCTGCGAATGTTTGCAGGATGTGAGTTGAGAAGTGGAAAAGGCTTCCTTATAAGTTAGAAGTAGGTCAAACTTAGCACTGTTCCTTACTTTTTTTGTTTTTGCCTTAAATTGCTAAAACCAATCATTCTCTAGTGATTAAGCCACACGTGATTTCTTTGCTCAAGAAGTCTATGCCAAAATCCACATATATTAGAAAGGAAGGCATATATGACGAAATTTATGATCCTGGCATTGTCTGGTTACCACTTAAGTTTTAGATACATTTTCTTGAAGACACAATAGAAGATTCTCTGAAGAGTTGGAACACAAAACAAAAATAAGGATCTGATCAAATGAGAGTAGCATTTTATTTTTCAAACGACTGATACATTGATCAACAACAATGTACACAGTGGTCCTCAGAGGAGATACAAAAGCACAAGATCTGCTTCCAAGGTTTTGGGAGATAATCTGTATGCTGCCATAGATTTATGAAACAAGTTAACAGTACCCTTTGTTATATATGAAGTGCTGAAAATTGTTCAGATACAGGAGGAGAGCTGAAGAGTTAAGAACTTCAGGTCTATCATGAGCACAGGCTAGTGTTTGATGAAGACAAGAAAGAAACTAGCTGAAAGAGTCACTCTGAGCAACTGAGGACAGGAGCTGAGACTTTATCCCATGGGGACTAGGCAGTCCTTACAGATGTCTAAATAAATAACAAGATGAGCTGGTTGTCTTGGGAACTGTGTTGACTGCAGGTTTGAGCTGGGAGGAAAGACTGGTTAGGCAACCGCAGAAGAGTAAATCAGCCAGGGATGGTAACTAGGAATGAAGGGAAAACGAGAAGGAAAGTTTATTTTTATTTAAATGCCTGGACATGGAACATTACTCAAATGAAAGGGCAAATAAAATCGCGAGGTTTCCAGCCTGAATGACTCAGCCTGAAGTGGGAGAGTTGTTGAGTATCTATCTGCTAGGTGACTTAGGAAAGGGGAAAGCCCCAAGTCTCAATGAGCACAATCATGGAATCATGGGATTTTAATGCTAGCAAAGACCTTAGTCCTTTTATTTTAAAGGAGGACAAGTAAAGCAAAGGAAGGGTGTGTGACTCAATCAGGATGGTGAGCAGTGAGTGAGTAGGGCACTAGGGTAGGAGAATCCAAGTCTTCTTCCACTATGTCACCTTCTTCAATGTCTAGCTCTGGACAGTGCCTCTCCAAGTTCACCAAATTAGACCGAAAATAAATCAATGACGATTTTAAAAACCCTCAGCTCTTTTTCCTCTCCTAATGTAGGGATCTTCATGATACAAGTCTTGAGAGTCATTTCGCTGAAGGATGACAAATTATGTGAGCTCTTTTCCAAGGAACAGTAGTTGGAGGTAAAAATGAGACCATAAAGACTACAAAGCAGTCTTTGTAGTTTTCCCATCTCAGTCCCCCACCCACGCTGCCAGATTACTGCCATTTTTTCTTTATCTTAGTTCCCTTGAGACAGAAGTGGATCCAAGTCCAGGGAACAGACTCCCACCAGCCAGCAGCATTCAGAATCACCGCCCCTTCGGTCCCTCTGTTTGCCGCGGTCACGCCTTCCTGCGATCAGGCAGGCGGCGTCTCTTCAGTCCCCAGTCGTAGGTAAAGCATCTTCCAAAAGCAGTCAGGTCAGGCCCCTCCCCAGCTAGATTACTTCGCGGGAGGATGCCTCGGTCCCTACGCGGGAAAATCGGGTCCCAGCACGGTGCAGGCACTGAGCACAGCCCTCGGGCACCCCGAGCTGGCCGGCGGGGAGGCCGTGAGCGAGACTGGAGAGCTCACCCCGAGTGCGCCCGCGAGCGGACAGGAGAGCAGCGCCCCACACCTACCAGAAAGCCAGTCGCTCTTCTTGGGCCTATTTCCTCTGAAATGAGCGCTCTAGACTTCTCCCGAGACTGCAAGATTGTAAGATCGAACAGGACTTGGTACCGTGGGGGCAGAGCCACACCCGGCGTGGGGAAATCGCCTCGCAGGCGAAGGTCGCTCGGGCCCAAGTTTCCAGGGCCGGCGCTCCGCGGCAACGGGGCGGGGTCAGAGGGCGGCGTGCACGCCCCTGCCCGGCCCTGCGTGCGCGTCCCCGTGGAGCAAACCACCTCGGCCGGGCCGAGCCAGGCCGGTGGGCGGGGCACAGTGGGGCGGGGCTCGGAGGAGGAGGCCAAGGCTGAGGAGAGAAAAGGCGGCGGCCGGGCGGCGACCGGGAGAGGCGCGGAGGAGGCGGGGAGCAGGCGGACGGTCGGGACCGGTGTGGGGCGCGGAACGGCTCCGGACAGCGCGGAGCAGCCGGGCACGGCGGCCAGGGCCTGGGCCGTGGTTCGGCGCGGGCCAGTGAGTTTCCCAGGGCCCGCGGCGGGAGGGCAGCAGGGGAGGCGGCGGCCGGTGCGGGGCGCAGGCGGAGCGGCGGGGTCGGCGGCGGGGTCGGCGGCGGGGTCGGCGGCGGGGTGGGCGGACGCGTCCCGGCCCGGCCGTCCCGCGGCGAGCGTCGGTGGCGCGGTGTGGGCCGCCTGCGTGGCCGTGCCGGGGAGGTCAGCAAATGGCGACCCGAGCCCGAGGCGCTGACTCCCGGTCACCCGGGCCTGCGCGGCGACGAGCGTGGGCGGAGGAGGGCGCAGCTCGGCGGGGCCGGGAGCCCAGCACCCGGGCCCTCCTCCCCTGGGCTTTTGGAAACTTGAGTTCATTGGGGACCAGCGGGTTAAGGTGCAGACTGAAGCATCGTAACTCTCCGCGGGATGAGCGAAGTTGGTAACTTTTCCATTCATGGCGGTGAGAGGATCCGCGTCTTAGCTTCGGCCTGTGTTAAAGGGAAACTTGTGGATTTTGTCCGACCCGCGAGGTGACTTGTGTCTTATCCTGCGCCTACTCCTTGCGAGTGCACTGTTTGGAAGGAGAGGACACGGAACGCGTGGCGGAGTCCAGGCAATCAGTAAATATGTTTTTAACGTGACAGCGCGGTCTGAATTCGCCATGGCCCTAGTACTCTGCTCCCCACTCCCTTGCTCTTGATTTTCTTCTGAGCCCTGTCGTCTCAGACCGAAGATGCTTGGGAAGGAATTGACATTTTCTTCCATGATTGTTTTGTTGACTGTGGTCCAAGAAGAAGTTATTTATGGGTATTCTGATAGCAGTGTAGATTAACTGGAATCTTTTAATGCAAACTCCCAAACTTTCTACATCTGTTTGTTGAATTTCAGTGCTGTGTTGTGTGCCCTTCAGAGACCTGCTACATTATACCAACATGTTTTGCATTTTTTCACATGAAGGTTTTCCAAAGCAGTCCAATTGTTAACTTGGCAAAAGGATAAGAGTGGCATAAAATACGCCTTTAGGTTTTTTCTAAGAGGTAGATTTCGATGTTCAGCTTTCGCTGAATCACTCTTCTTTATGCTTAGTCACTGTTTCTCAATTTAGAAGTTAACTGGGGATGACATGATGTTTTGCTTACTTCTTAAATTGCCAATTTGTTTTTACCTCGTACTTTGATGTGGTAAATATACTGTTACTCTATTTTAGAAGAAGTGAGTCGACTTTTTTGACTGTTATGAAAGAACTGAAGTTTGTTTCTTTAAAGTGTGTACTACCATAGGTGTTTCAATTCAGTTTTTCTGTGTCTAGCATTGGGAGACCTGTTTTTTTTGCTTATTTTTGCTTTTTAAAGGCAAGGTGTCCTGCTAAAGAATGATGTTAAAAAGCAGCGCAATATAATTAATTGTTAACATTTTGAGATAAGGTATAAAGAGAGGACTTTAAGGTCACCAAAAAAGGCATTGATTAACGTGCTTGCTATTTGAACGTTTCTGAAATGTGACACTTTTAGTGGGATAAGGCCTATGCTATTTCATGTGATTTTGGATAATCTTTGAAATTAGTTGCTAAGACCGCTTATTTTGATAAAAAGAGTTACTTCAGGCTGAGCATTGTATTTGTAGAATACTTGAGTTTAAAGTCTTGTGTCAAGGCTGTATTAATTTCAAATTCATTATGATGAAATAGACCAGATACACCTTGGACAAGTCCAGCACTTCTGTATTGGTGACTGTCAATAGGTGCTAGATACAACCATATCTCAATTAATAACCAGTCTTTTACCAATAAAATCACTTTTTTAAAGAGTTAAGTGTTAGTACTAGTTATAGTAGCTCCTCATATGACTGGATTTAATAAGCTTTATAAGTTTAAAGGACCACATTCCAAAAATGATACATGAAGCTTTGTATATAAATCTGGCTGTTGTGTAAAGCAAATACATCCACTTTCTGAGAACTGCATGTCTGTATTCTGTTGGACATACTCATAATTGTAACCCAGCTTCACAGAGTTCTAGATTGTTTTCAGACTAGGAATTGCCTTGAGGTCACAAAGCTGAGACTCTGGAAGCCCACTCCCTGATTATGTGATACCCATCTTAATAAACTGAATTCTTCCATTTGAGTGGAGGTTTTTAAATCTAAGTATCAATTCAAATAGGTTTATATCTGAGTATTTAATGTTTATTAATATTTCAATTTCTGGTGTAAGTTTGATAATTTCATTTGTTTCTCAGACAACATTGCAAGCAGTTAGAACTTTCACTTTTGGACTCACTGCTCTTCATGACCATATTTAGAAATGGACAATATATGTTTTGATTATATCACATCTGGAAGGATAAAAAGTTGAAAATACTTTCCATATAATTAGTAAGTTGTATAAATGAGAACCAGAGTTTCATTAACCCATTTAGCCATTTTGGACTGAGGACATGTGGTTTGAGTTGGGAATTTAAGGGTAGTGTAGTTTTAATCGTGTCTCGAAAACTCCTTGGCTCTCCATTCATTCGTTTATTTATTTATTGCAATGAGTTGGCTCAAACCCAGGGGCTTGTACATGTTGCTTTGTCACTGAGCTACATCCTCAACTCTCCTTCTCCTTTTTTAAAAACAATACAGTAAGATGTCAAGCTGAGGACCACATTTATCAGGATTCATTTAAGACTGAATGCAGCTGATCAGTGAATCAATTTGGGAGTGTTTGTTTTTGTTATGTGCTAGTGTCTCTTAACTGTACAGAGGATGAGATTTGCCCTAGAGGAGCAAATCAGTAAGCTTGCTAAATCAGTAAGATTGCTAAATTTGAAATTTCAGTCACGGACTTACTTATTTACTTGTAATAATGCCTAATTAATTAAACAAGTCTGTCTAGTTCCACATTAACCTTACATTGTAACAACCTCTTATTGCTTAAGTAGAATTGTTTCATCTGTACTAATTGTAATATTAAGCAGCAGGCCAATGCTACCTCCTATTTTGAGCTGCTTTTCCTCACACTGTACCTAATAAGATTCATGTGCATGTGTAGATGCCATCGTCTTTCTTTTTGAACCGTTCAGTTTCAGTTCAGCTCAGTTTCCTAATAACTAGCCTGCAGGATTGATAAGAACATTAAAATAATGGAATAATATAAAGGTAAATGCTTTCTCTTTGCTGTTTTTTTAAAAACTGGACAATTCAGTTAATTTTTTAAAGATTAAATGTTTTTATTTTAATGTAATGCAAGTACATATTAATAAAGGAAATGGAAAAGCACTCTTCTATGAAAAAATAAAACGAAATTAGAGAACAGCGATAGTAATACACTTTATTGTGATCTTAAAGAGTGACCAAAATGATACTCATCAAAAAATCAAATAATAACATTCTGGCAAGGATGTGAGGGAAAAGGAACTCTTCTACATATTTGGTGTACAAATATGGTCCACAAACACTGTGGAAATTGCTGTGGAGATTCCTCAAAAAAAAAGTAAGAATAGAAATTCCATTTGACCTAGTTATCCCTGTTTCTAGGTATTGTCCCAGAAGAGTTAAAGTCATCATAATACAGTGATAACATGCATACCTATGTTTATAGTGGCACAATTTATAATAGCTAGATCTTGGAAACAGTGTATATATATGTCAATCAACAGATAAATGGATAAAGAAAATGTACTTATACACAGTTTTACACTCCTCTCCCATAAAAAGATAAACTTTAGGCATTCATAGGCAGATAGGTGCAACTTGAGTCAGTTTTCCTTGACTTGCCTTTCTCATTGATTTACTTTTTTAACAAGTGGTTTATCTTACTCCATAAATAATGCTTGGAATGTATTATGTATTTCCTCAATAAATGTTTGAGCATATTGACTTTTTGTGGTAGATTCAAGGAAGTAATTTTGTCTCAGTTTGATTGTCTAATGCTAGATCTGTAAGTTTGTATCTTTTCATGCAGTATGTAGTTTTCCATAAAATCAAGAATCTCATTTTGGTTTGGAATCCATTTTATTTTGTTATACTCTAATTCTTTCATTAATGTATTTATACAAATGAATCCTTAATTGAGGCAGAGGTTTGAATTCAGGGAACATCAGAGTGAATGAGACTGAGATGGTTCTGACTTTCATGGAGCTTGGAGTTTTCCTGAGGAGATAGATGTAAAACACAATAGTGATTTTCTGTCACTAGTAATACCAAGAAAAATGCATCGTGTAATGACCCTGCAGAAGGAGGGATCTTACCTTGTCTTTGGTGTGCATGGGAAAGTGATAAGCTGAGGCTTAAGAGTTGAGGAAGCTTGGCAGATGTGTCTGTATCTTGTACCCAACAATCCCGAGGCAGCAGTCTGTTTTGAGAACAGTAGATGACTTTTCTAAGCACATTCTAAAATCCTGTTCATTTGTGATTATTTACTTAATCCTATGTTTTTGTTTTTTGTGTTTTTTGTTTTTGGTACCTGGGGATCAAACTCAGGACCTTGTGCTTGCCAGGCAGGCGCTGTGCCACTGGGCTAAATCCTATGTATTTTGATGAATTGAGAACAATTTTAAGGATACTATCTCTATGCCTTACATCAGAGGCCGATAAGGGGGATAGTGAGGGCTAAAAAACACAATAGAGACTTGTGCAATTTCAAAGTTTTGGGGGGGCCCAGGAGGTCAGTGCCTCAGAGTGGGCAAAGACAAAGACTCCCCGAGCTGGCCACTATTTATTGGGTGCACACAGTAATTGGAGGGACTGTCGGGTGACTTAGGGGGTTAGGGGGCAGCAGTGATCTTATGTCTGATCTTGTGCAGATACAAATCTCAAGCTGGTGTGGGCGGGAAGGAGAGCTTTCCCACCTCGGTAGGTGGGGTGACTGAGCTTGGCCCTCGTCCCTCCCCAGGTGAAACCTTTCTCTTCTGTGTTACTACTTGATTCTCAAGGAACCAGAAGGTCTCCAGCAGGTGTCACCTTGCCGTTGAGCTCCACAGCTTCACAGACCATTGAGTCCTCTACTGTGACCAGAGGCAAAACGAAGTTGTTTCCCATGCCAGAGCCAGCTCTCTGGCAAAGCAACATTGGACCTTAGACAGCTATCATCATACTTTAATTATGAAATGATTTTCCCCAAAAATGTATATAGAAATACTCCCGATGCCTTAAATGACAGGATCTCATTTCATTGTATGGGAAAATGCCATGCTTGAAAACTATTTTTAAGGATTGCTTGTCAGCTACACAATATGAGTTGGAAAGGAACTTCTATTAGAAAAACTTCAATCTATTGTAAAGCATTTCATCACTTACAAATAGGTTTTAGTCTAATGAAACTTTTCCCAATCATTCATATTTAAGTATAAATTAATAAAAATCTGCTTTGGCATGTTAGGATTTTAATTCTAGTGAGGTTTTTTTTTAATGTTAAATTTTGAATAAGCTCATCTGGAACCTTTAGCCTCAATTTTATCAACTTTTCTACTGGATCTGCTGTGTCACTATTCAGTTGATAAATCATGGATTGGCATTTTTAAAAGCTAATTTCACAGGATTTGTGAATTGTCTTAATTAGGTAGTAGTAATCTTGATTAAAAAGAGGATGAATCTGGTAGAGTTTTGAAAATGAAGGCCATCGCCCATTATATTCCCCAGAATATTGCTGTATTTTCTTTAATATATTTATAAAATGAAATTGAACTTGATTCTTTTTTTGTGTATTTTGAGAATTGTTAAATGCGTAATATTTCATATGCTTATACTGAGTGTCCATGTAAATAATTTAAAAAATAATTTAAAACACACATGTTCAAAGCAAAGTAATGTGCTTTTATAATTAGAAAGGGCCAAAAAGACTTTCTTGACCACAAGGGTTAGGGATTAAGTGTTGGAATAAACTACAAGCAAAGTTGTGCAACCTCCATTCCTCAAATAACATCTTAAAATTGAATCACCAGTTACTGAAGAGCTGCCTTATTAAACTTTTATAAGTAAACATGTCTGTTACTGTTCTTGCCCATTGATCACCTATAGATTTAAGTCCTACCTCTCTGTCTTAGCTAGGTAGATGATCTTTGGTAAAGCTTTTCTGAAAAACAATTTCATCTGGGATGTTAGGAGTTATTAAGGGACTTGGTACTTGTAAAGGAGAATAAAATATGTACATAATAAGTGTTCCCTTTTTCCTTTACTTCCATAAATAGTATTATGCATTTGTTGCTATGGGTGCCTTCTTTGTTTAAGTTTTTTGTTTTGTTTTTAATACTGTTATTGGAAGGGGAATTGTGTAAAAGAGGCAAGGACAGTTACTGCTCTGTTCACATTTAGCCCAGAATTATAGCAGTTGCTGTTTTAAACGTTTTTGAATTAAGTCATGTAAAAAGATGTGCTCTACCTGGTATGATTGTGTGATGATGTGTACAGTAATGTAAAGTATCTCTACAATTCTAAAAGCAGTGGTCACTTCTGTTGAAACTACTTGTATATTTAGGTTTCTCTCTTAGCAACAGTCAAGCTTATAACCTTCATCATGTGAGATGAACTCTAGTTGCAAAATAAGAAAGCTACAGCTGTTTTCACAGTCTAATCACTCAGTAAAGTTTCTTAATTTTTTAAAGAAAAATAAAGCATGTTTTCATAAATAAGAGTAACAATAGTTATTACACTGTGTATCATTATCTCCAAAGTAGTTACTCAGTACAAGACATCAATCAAAACAAATTCTTAGAAAAAAGAAACAGATAATAACACATTCTTTCCAGTGGACTAAGGTGAAAATTGTCTGCTTAAATGACAAATGTTTGTCATCATTGTTCTGTTGTTTCGTCTACTGTATTATGAGTTTTAATGTGTCTTTTTATTAACATAAAATTTATGAAAATTAACTCTTAAAAGTTTTTTTATTTTGTTTTGTTTTTTGGCCATACTGAGATTGAACCCAGGCCTCTCATATTTGCTAGGCAAGTGCTCTACCATAGAGCTACATCCCCAACCTTTTTTACTTTTTTATGAGACAGGGTCTTGCTAAGTCACCCAGCCTGGCCTCAAACTTGTGATCCTCCTGCTTCAGCTTCCTGAAGGCATGTACTACAATACCTAGCTCTAATTTCTAATTTTTTAGACAACTTAAAAGTAGTTTTGGTGCCAAATCAGTGCCTTTTTTTCCTTGACATTAACAAACATTGTAATAGCAACTCAGAATTTTGCTGCTTAATCAAGAAAAATGCTATCAGCAATGATTGGGTAGATTTTTGTTATTCAAGTTTCAGGAGGATCAAACTTTAACTGGAGATAAAGATATAGCAATTTGGGAAGTGATTATTGTAGCCACCTGGAATCGAGATAGAATATAAGCATAAACATATCAGACCAAGTAATGTCTGTGACATGAGTGAAGAAAATAGCTGCTCATCTGCTTATCTAGAAAATTATGTACTACAGTGTAATTTGGAAATACTGAGCTGAGCTGCCTGTACCTTCTGCAGGTAGAAATACACAATAAGTAGCCATTGGGGTCCAGAGTTTGGAAGAGGAGTCTGGACCAGAGGTATAGTTAAGTTTTCAGAATATGAATGGCAATTGAAACTTTCGGAGAAATTGAGAGCATCCAGAAAGAATGTGTAGAATGCACAAGAAGTGATGTGGAACCCTGAACAGGTGTAACATTTAAGAAAAGACTAAAGAATAACCAGAGGTAGACAGAAAACTGGAGAATTGTTAACAACGTGAACAGTAAAGCAGGTGACAATTAAAATAGGGATTAATCATTATAACCATATGGCCAAAGAAGATGGTCTAGAAAACATTTTTCCTTTGAATTTAAGAGGCTCTCAGTAGAGCAGTTGTAGTGAGGGGTAGTGACTATAAAGTCAGATTAGGGGGTTGAAGAATGTATATGAGCTTAGAAGATTCATTTGGTGTTTGTTTTTCTTCTGAAAGTTTGACTGAATAGGAAATAAAAATGGTAGCGGAGGGGGGATGTTTTGTTTTTACCACAATAAGAACAAACCAATAAAGAAAGTGAAGATTACAGAAAAAATAATTCAGAAGGCTTAAGTATAATCACCATATCATGCTTATGCTTTCTCTTATTTTTGTTATAAAAGTTTTCTTGATAAAAGTTAAAATTCTAAACTGTGTTTTGTGGTGCATGCCTGCAATCCCCAGCACTCCAGGAGGCTGAAGCAGGGGGCTGGTAAGATTGAGCTCAGCCTGGGGAAATTTAGCTAGACCCTGTCTCAAAATAAAAAATAAACAAAAGCTGGGGATGTAGCTCAGTCCAAAGCCTCTGTGTTCAATTCCTAGAATGGAAAAGAAAAAAGCAACAACAGAAACCAGAGTTAAAATTCTAATTGTAGAGCAGGAAAGACTAGTAGGTATCTGTAATCCTTTCATGTTATTTTATAAATCCTATTTTTCTGTTTAAAATGTTCACTGACCTCCAGTTACTAAAGTAAACACCCTGGAGTAGTGTACTGCACTTATGATTTGCCTCATTCCTTTTTGGCCTTGTTTCCCACAACTACCTTGGATTTCACCTTGATCCAGCAACATGTTTGTCAGCTCAAGCTCTTCTGTATTTGTATATGCTTTACTTCAGCCTCGAATACCTCCCTTTCTTACTAAATAACTTTCCCATACTTAAGGCTTCTCATCTTTCAAGGCTACTATGCATTCTTTTCTAACTCTTACCCAGTTATCTTCTCTGTGTTACCATCTTACTTTATCAATCACATAATGTGATGGGATTATTACTGTATGACTTGCTGTAGCTCCTTGTAAGAAGGCACCGTATCTTTATATTGCCATACTAAACACAATGCCTAGAGTCTAGTAGCTGAATACATTGAATGATGAGTGGAGACGGAAGTAAGTATATTGCCCACAGCCACAGATCTTGAACTAGAACTTTTATTTTCTTGATAAATTCCCTATATATTTCACTTAGAGCTAACTCTTGTTAATTTGTAGAATATTAGGCATACATAGAAAAGATCAATATGTATATGAAATTTCTGTATTTAGAAGAATATAAAAGAAAATTTCTAAAAGTTCTAGTTCAGTATATTAATGAAATCCATATTATTCTCAGGAATAGGATGGAGGTGTCTGCACTGTAAGGTGTACCGTAGTCGATTTAATTGAATTTAAAAAGGTAAAACTAAAGTAGTCTCTGAAATCTAAAAATTGAAATACACAACATTATAGGCATTAATATAGTACACAGTACTAGAATTTAAGTATTATATTTTAACATGCCTTATGGTCGTTTTGCTTATAGTATGTAAAAACAAACTTACCACATTTTAGAGTACTGAATTGTTATTTGAAATATTTTAAGTTCTTTCAAAATATCTTGATCATATTTAAAATTAATAGTTTATATGCATTTTATGTACTACACCCTCAAATAAGCTAAAATACATCAGTGATTTTAATTTATATCATTAAACAATGTTGAAAACTCAAACACTTTCTGACTTTTTTATCTTTTCCATTTCAACTGCTAGAGCTGGACTGGCCATTATGGAGGAGGACCTGCAGCATTCACACTGTGTGAATTGTGTCAGTAGACGGTGTATGACCAGACCAGAGCCTGGCGTTTCCTGTGACTTGATTGGTTGTCCATTGGTTTGTGGAGCAGTTTTCCACTCTTGTAAAGCTGAAGAGCATCGACTTTTATGTCCATTTGAACGTGTGCCTTGCTTAAATAGTGACTTTGGATGCCCATTTACCATGGCTCGAAATAAAGTTGCTGAACATCTAGAAATGTGTCCTGCAAGTGTGGTGTGCTGTACTATGGAGTGGAACCGATGGCCTGTGAGTTACGCAGACCGGAAATCATATGAAAATCTAAGCAGAGATGTTGATGAAGTGGCACAATTAGATATGGCCTTGGCCCTTCAAGACCAAAGAATGCTCTTAGAATCTCTCAAAGTAGCTACTATGATGTCAAAAGCAACGGATAAAGTATCTGAACCTAGGGAAAAAATACCAGTTAAATCAAGTGTCCCAGAAACACCACATACTAATGGTTTGGTGTCTGTTGATGAATCTTACGGTGCACTTTATCAAGCTACTGTAGAAACAACTAGAAGTTTGGCTGCGGCTTTAGATATCTTGAATACTGCCACAAGAGATATTGGCATGTTAAATACAAGTCCTTGTGCTACCCCAAATGAAATGGATGAAGGAAAAAACACCAGAGAAAGCTTGCAGGGTAGAAACTTAAAAGACCAGGACCATCTTTATGAGGACGAGATAGGGGCAGTAGGTGGAACTGACCGTAATGGCACAAGTCAGAATGCCCAGTCTGAACAAAATAGTTCCAGTGATTTATTATGTGACTTGAATGCAGGTTCTTACGGCTCTTCTGCTCTTTGTAATGGCTTTCCTTTGGAAAATATATGTCCACAGGCGAAAGACCAGGATCAACAGAATAACTTAATAAATGGAGAATGTGTGGCATCAGATGATACTTCAGAACCTTCCAGTTCACTTTCATTAGCAGCACAACTTAGGGAAGTAATGCCACCCAGTGCTTTGCCTAATGGCACAGTTCAGCATATCCTCATGCCAGATGGTGAAGATGAGGGAGAACTGTACTGGAGAAAAGTAGACTTAGGGGACTTGAGAAATGTGGATGTCTTCTCTTTTAGTCATACTCCTTCATTCAAATTTCTTTCTAATTCATGTTGGTCTAAGCCAAAGGAAGATAAAGCAGTAGATACATCAGACTTGGAAGTTGCAGAAGATCCCATGGGCCTCCAAGGAATAGATCTGATTACAGCAGCCTTACTGTTTTGTCTAGGAGATTCTCCGGGTGGGAGGGGTATATCTGATAGTCGCATGGTTGATGTTTACCACATTGACTTTGGGACGCAGACTTTTTCACTTCCATCTGCAATATTAGCCACAAATACAATGGTTGGAGAAATAGCTTCTGCTTCAGCTTGTGATCATGCCAATCCACAGCTTTCAAATCCAAGTCCTTTTCAGACACTTGGACTGGATTTAGTATTGGAATGTGTTGCTAGGTACCAGCCTAAGCAGCGTTCAATGTTTACCTTTGTGTGTGGACAGTTATTTAGAAGAAAAGAATTTTCTTCACATTTTAAGAATGTGCATGGTGACATTCATGCTGGACTCAATGGCTGGATGGAACAGAGATGTCCTCTAGCGTATTATGGTTGTACCTATTCTCAGCGAAGGTTTTGTCCATCAACACAAGGAGCAAAAATTATACATGACCGCCAGTTGAGGTCATTTGGAGTTCAGCCATGCGTATCTACAGTATTGGTAGAGCCTGCTAGAAACTGTATGTTGGGATTACATAGTGACCATCTGAGTGGTCTTCCTTTTGAGGTCCTACAACATATTACAGGTTTTCTTGATGGTTTCAGTTTATGCCAACTCTCATGTGTGTCCAGATTAATGAGGGATGTGTGTGGCAGTCTCCTTCAGTCTCGTGGAATGGTCATACTGCAGTGGGGGAAAAAGAAGTATCCGGAAGGAAATTCATCATGGCAAATAAAGGAAAAGGTTAGTTTAATTTTTTTTTTTTTTTTTTTTGGTACCGGGGGATCAAACTTGGGTCCTTGCACTTGCACAGCAGGCGGCGAAACCACTGAGCTAAATCCCCAGCCCCGGTTAGTTTAATCCTAACTATATTAATCTTTTACTTGACATAGACATCTAATAGATATATTGAATTAATAGTTAATATTTTGTTTTAGAAATTGAGCATCCCCAAAAATTTAACTAAGAAAATATGATACAGCATATATTAAAATGATAATTAAGAACTAGAATATTTAGAATTACCATGATCATGGGCTTAGTATAAATTTCCTAGATCTAGATTCTCAGCTAATAAGGCAAAGGGCATTTCTTTTTCTTCAGATGAGCAGTTCTATCCTTCTTCAATTCTACTGTATCAGCTTTGGGCCCATGTTACCTAATTTGTGCTCCACCTGAAGCAGCTTGACCGTAAAACCATGAAGAAAATAAGGAGAGGGTTTTCTTTTGCTTATGATTATCTGTTTCCATTCTTGGCAATTTCTTTTTTAGAACTTAGTTGTTTCATATAGAACATAAAGAGAGATGAGAAAATGTTGCAGCTACTGCTACAGTCATACTTCTAAGTGACCAAGGGAGTATTTAGGGTACAAGGACCATAAATGGATGAGGAAGTGTCTTAGGCTGAAGTAAGATTAGAGTAGGATAGTGGAATGTAATATTGTAGATAGAGACTGAGTCTACCCTACTTTTCTCTAGTTTTTATTTGAGGCAACATGCAGTGGAAACTAGAAGGCATTATAGATACCTGTGATTGAAGGTGTTTTTTAAATTTTAAAACACTCATAATATGAAACCTTACACTTTATAAAGTAAAAACATTTTTGATGAACTTCGCATTTGGTTACAGTGTTCAAATTTCTGGTTACTTTTTCCTTGGCCCAGTTAGGTTTTGTCTTTTACTTACCACTTCAGTTTTTCAGAATTCTGCATCTACTTCTCTGTTTTCATGAGGCTTTGATCACTGAAAGAACACAAATTATTTTATAGTTTTTTTTTCAAAAAGGAATTTTGGTGGCAGAAAATGTCACCAGTTATGTGTGTTTTCATTTTCCGGATGATTTGGTGCCTTTCTTCCCTTTGGGACGGGACATTCTATGTATCACCTCTTTTTGTCCTTATCCACTAGTATTAACATATGAGGTGAAGTATTTTCTGGGGACTGATAATAATTCTTTCAGAGATAACATCTGGTCTTCAAGTTTAAGTTGCCATCATTTACACATCTATAAACTGGCCATTTTCTCTACTAAACTCCAGAGCACTACAAAGTGTGGTCATAGTGTATGGGGAGTGTTTATGTCTTTACAAGGTATGATAAAAAATGTGGTAGATGTTGCTGGCAAGTGCCATCTGACAGAAAGGCAGGCTTATGAAAATGTTACGGTCTGTCCTCATCTACCTTATTCACCAGATGGACCTTATTCACCATATCTGGCACTGTACACTTCGGACTCTTCTCCGATGTCAAAATGACTGAAAGGTTTTGAATTGATTCAGGATACCAAGGCAGCCTTGACAGCACAACAAAAAACACTTATGAAAGAAGACTTCCAGCAGTGCTTCAGGAAGTGGCAAGAACAATGGGAAAAGTAAAAAGCAAGGGGAAGTATTTTGAGGAGGATATGTCTTTCACTGCAATAAATTTTTGAAAATTAAACATTCACCATTTTTTGTATCACACCTTATATATACAAGCATCTACTGGACATCTCTACTTGATTATCCCACAGGTTTCTCAAACCCAACATGTCCAATCCACTCTGTTCCTCTTCCCTCCTCAACCTCAGATTGGAGAGTTAGGGTTGACTGCTTTTTAACCCTGTTATTTCTGTACCTAGGTAAACATGAAGTCTTGAATATTCTTCCTTTTTCAAAACTCCTCTCAAATTTGCTTCTCTATTTCATTCCCATTATCCTAGTTTAGCCTTGTCTTTGGTTCTCTCCTACATTGCTACCACAGCTTTCTCCTAACTGGATTTCTTCTTACAGATGAGGCCCTCTCCAACGCATCTGCTTTTAAGAGTTACAATATATATTTTCTTAAATACAATTCTTACATTGTCACTACAGTGCTTAAAACTTCCTTAATATTTTTGTCCATTGCCCTGGGATATAGGCTAATTGCTTTATAAAACATTTAAAACTTCATCATCTCATCCTTTTTTTTTTTTTCTCATTAAGTTTATTGGTACATTTTAGGTATACAGCAGTTACATTCATCATTGGGAACTTGTACCTTTACCTGATATATCTTGGTTCTTATTTTTTCCCCATTCCCTTGCTGTCCCTTCAACCCCTCCACCCCTCCCTATTTACAAAGACTTTGTTTCCATTTTTTCCTTTTCTCATATTTTTTCCTTTTCCTTCTTTCCTTTCCCATAACCCTCCCACTTCCCTTACCCCATTAGACCTTTTCTTCCTATTTCACATTATCAAATACACATTTTCATCCTTATTTATACCTTTACTATTCAGTATTTACACGTGTGTCCTATTTATTTCACTTAAAGCATAGCCTCAATGTGCATCCATTCAACTATAAATGTCTTTAGTTTCTCATTCTTTATGGCTAAGTAATACTCCATTTTATAAAAAAAAGACAATCTCATCCTTTCTTGTCTCTTAAGTTTCTTCCGTCACTTTATGTTCTAGCCATATTCACTTATTATCCCCTGATGCTTTCTTTCTTGCCTTATGACCTTCGAATATGCTGTTCCTAGTACCTGTCTTTAAATACCTGCAATGTGCTAGATTGTGTGCATTAATCCTTTCATTAGCTTATTTAATCTGTGGTCATCACTTTACAGATGAAAAAACAGTAAGCGTCTTATCTAAATAATTGATGGATCCGTTCTAATTTTCATTTTCTTAGTATTTTCTGCTTACTCTTTAGGTCTTACTTCCTGGAGAAAGCCTCCTGGTACTCTCCTCTCTTTATTGCTGTGGGCTCCAGTACCTGGTCCTACAGAAGCATTCATGCAGCTGTTTTGAAATTTATTGATTGTCATTTTCAATCATAAGTTCCTTGAGAATTAAAACTCTGGCAATCAAAATATCTCCTGTCTAGCATAGCACCTACCATTTATTAGGCACTTAGTAAACACTTTATGGATACCTGAAAAGTAGTCCCATTACTGAGAAACCTTATCAGCAAATGGGAGTCAACCCCCCCTTTCTTTGCTTTGCCTGTTTTTCCTGAGTTTGTTTCACTGGACTCTTAGATGTATGGAAGCTGTGGTTTTGTGGGTAAGAAGAATGTAAGGGAGGCTAGTGACATCTATACTCTTGTTAGGTCTTCATTGTCTCCTGGAATGTCACTCCACACAAAGTAATTGATCATAACCCTAAGGAGTACAAGGAACACCCTTCCTGCTAAACAGTAGTGACTTGCTGTGTCAGCTGAAAAATACTGTACTGTAGTCTCAGAATTTGAACCCATCTGGCCACCCCGGAAGTTCTTGAGAAGTTGTACTCTGTGCTGAGGCCTCCCAAAATACTGCTACTTTCAAGAGTATGTGCTGTATCTGTGGGTTCTGTGTCTGTGGTTTCAATCAACTGCTGATCAAAAAGCACTTTAAAAAAGTTGTCTGTGTGAAACATGTACAGACTTTTTTCCCAAGCAATACAGTATAACATCCTGCCATTTACTTTGTATTAGGTATTATGAGTAATCTAGAGACAACTTAAAAGTTTGTGGGTAGATACACAGTTTCTTTGCAAATACTATGTCATTTTACACAAGGGGTTTAAGTGTCACAGAGTTTTATGTCCTCAGGGCATCCTGGGACCAGGCCCCAAAGATAACCAAGAGACAGTTATATTCTCTAGGTATTTACCTGTTGATGAACTTAGCCGGAATGCCCAGGCCTGTGCTGCCCCATCCATGCTTGTTACCCTATGTCTCCCCTGATCTGCATTCGTCCACCTTACATATATGTTCAGTACCTTTATGTTTTCAATTGTAAAGACGAGAGAGGGACACAGTAGTCATTGCTCAACTAAGATGATAATGTCTCAGGGACTGAAGCTGCTCACTGAACAAAAGGGGAATCAGCCCATATTTTTGTCAGCAGACACATGAACAGGGTGGCTGGTGAGTATTGTGCCTAGAAACATGAAAATAGGACCTGTTTTATCAACGTTCTTTGTATATACATTTTCAGAAACATGAAAGTACCTATGTTTTAAGTGTTGCTAGGTACCTTTAGTATGTGTGAAAAGTGGAAAGATGAGTTACCTTACTGCACAATATTCTAGGGTATTTTTAATACATTTTGTATCATGTAATAGGAATGGGAGAAAAAGATAACATTTATAATGTCATTTTCTCCAAACTATGGATAGTTATATTTAAGCCATTTTGACAGGAAGAGTGTATGCACTGTATGTTAAGAAGTGGCTCTGAATTCATGAAGTTACCATTTTTAAAAATTGTTCAATAAACCAGATTTGCTGTGATTTTTAATATTGGATTCTTTGTTTTGGTTATTTGTTGAAGTCATTATCTCATACAAGTCAGTTGTCTTATATTTTCCAAACAGATTTATGTCTAAATGGTTCTTTTTATTTTTTTTAAATTTATTTTGTGTGTGTGGTGTGTGGTTATGGAGGATCGAACTAAGGATCTTGCTCTTGCAAGGCAGGCACAGCACCACTGAGCTAAATCCGTGGCCCTGGATCTTTTTAATTTTATAGCTCACTACTTGAAACTATATTGGATGTTTCCCTACCAGTAAAAGTATGTTCATGTAGAGTAAGAAGGACAGTTTGACCCTGTAATTTGACTTACTTAAATCTGATGTAGAATTTTCTTCTAGGTATGGCGATTCAGTACTGCATTTTGTTCTGTTACTGAATGGAAGTTTGCTGACATCTTAAGCATGGCTGACCACTTGAAGAAATGCAGTTACAATATCGTTGAGAGACGAGAGGAGGCTATCCCATTGCCGTGTATGTGTGTGACTCGAGAACTCACTAAAGGAGGACGTTCGCTGCGCTCAGTTTTAAAACCTGTACTTTAAAAACTGTAACTTGCACATACATGCAAGCACTTGGTATAATTTCTTTGTAATATGTGACACTTTATTAATGTATTAAAGATTACAACTAGCTAAATTTATTGTCACTGTGTATATATAATGTTTTGAAGTGACATATATTTTTATAAAGTATTTAGTTGGAAAAAAGTTGCCTTAACGTTTGAAATGTGTGAAATTTTTGGAACTTGCTGGACAGGGTGATTTAATCTTTAGCTATATGACTTTCAGAATGAGTATCTTTCATGGTGTGCATATTTTGGTTCTTAAATTTTTTCGTAAAATTAACAAGATCCTGACCAAACAATTTACTCCTCATGTTTTTTGTGGGTTTGAAGCCCCGTGAAATCAAAATGTAAAACTTTGAATCAAATTTTGGCAGCATAGGTTTTTCATTCAGATAAACATTTTCAATTGCTTAAGTACTGCCATAAGATCAGTATAATGTGCTCCCTTTCCACAGTTGCTGATGCATATGTGATCTCCAGTATGTGAAATATGATTAAAAAAATATGGTGAATATTTACATTAAAAAACATTTATTAAAGTAAGATACATTGCCATTATTCTTCCCTTCTGCATCTTAAGTGTCTTTAGTTGGGGTGTTATGACCACCTAAATCAGCTCAACATGTTTACCTTTCATAGTCATTGTAACTTTGGGGAAGAGTTGCATGGTGCCAGATCTGGTGAATAAGGTGGATGGGACACATTGTAATGCTTTTATGAACTTGCTTTTCCATTTGATAGCAGCATTCACTGTACGTTTTGATCACACTTTGTAAAGAACTCACAAAAGAGGACTTCTTGAACTACTTCAGAAATTGGCAAGAATAATGGGATAAGTATGTTGGAAGCAAGGGGGATTAATAATTTAAAAAATTTAAACATTCACTGAATATTTTGATCACTCTTATTAAATATATAAATCACAATATTTAAAATAACAGCTAATGTTTGGTAATGCCATTTGTTTTAAAAATACAAAGATGTGTTCATCTTACGTTCTTACAACTGTTATACAGTGATCATTTACACCTTTTGTTTTTATTAGATGCCAGATCCAAAGACTCTTGGCAGTGTTTTACCTGACAGGTAAAAGCAAAACAAGCAAACAGAAAGCAAGCCTGTGAATTTGAAACAATTCATGGTACTATATTTGCTAGATATTTAATATTTGAGAAGCAAATATACCTCATTTTAAGTGAATATGGCATATTGTATGTTAATTTCAAATATTCAGAATGTAAAAGGGCTTAACTTTTTTCATAAGCATTTAAAATTTTTCTTATTGATGTTTATAAAAAATACAACTGAATGAAGCATTTAAAAATGTGAAATTTTGTGTCCCTTATGTAAGGTAATGATTGAGCAGAAACTTGTATTGATTGACAATCTCTTCAAAATGTTTCCAAGTTAATTCCCCATACACATCTGTATTAGAAAGTAAGAGTGAGTGGTATCTTTGTATAAAGAACAAAATATGAGGACAATTTTCAAAGTCCTGTTTTTGAAATATTGTTTTAAAATTGATTTATAATAAAGCTTGATGTGGTCACCTTAGAAAGGAATATACATGTTGTATCATATTTAAAAATAAATTGCAAAGATGGGGACATATATTTAAATAATTTGTCTTAGGTGAATTCTGGCATTTGATAAGCTGAAATGGTGAAAAACTACCTTGTAATAAGTGGCAAAACTAATTGTATCTCCTACATTTGTCCTTGAGAGAGCTTTATGGTTACTGATTCATGATTCCCATATATGGCAGTCAGGCTGGGCAGAGGCGTTCCTTGGGCATTAGAGAATTCTGAACTGCTTAAGATTTGTTTTGGTTGAATCAACTAATCAGTTTTGCTTCACCTGTCATTTTAAGTATAGAATACTTATTTCTCAGTGCTTAAACTTTCTTTTTCAACTGCAGGATGAAATTGCATAAAATGTCTGTGTTTCTGTGAAAAAGCTAGAAATAAGGTATCAAGTACTGTAAAATATAACTCCATCTTTTAAAGTTTTGCTGAAGAATGTGTCTATGATTAGGCTACCACTAGCATTAACTTTTTGCTTTATGGTGTGCTTTATTAAACCCCATGATTTTTAAGCTTAAGACTTCTTGTTTCCACACTGGTTCATGAGCTATTTAACATTTTTCCACCTATATTTCTTTTACACATCTTTTGCCATTCTTTTGTTTGTTATGCCACCATAGTATTTTGTAAATATGTTTTCTTTGTGCAACATTTGTTCGTTCTAATAAAATTGTTTTCCCTTTATATGACTCATTATCTTAAAAAGCTTTCATTTAAATAAAACTTTAGTACTTGTTCAACAGATTCCACACACAGTTACATGTTTCTGTAATACTGATGTCTGCATGTTATAGGGGTTGCTGGTTATCATTGCGGAGTAAGGTTTACTGGTGAACATTAATTTTTTTTAATACAGTACATATTAAAAACTTAGCTTTCTTTGTCCTTTTTGTGTCCTGCAAGTAGTCCTGTCTAGGGTAATTGAAAGGCTAAAGAGTTTCTGGCATGATCATTTCTCTAAAACTTGTTATGAGAACCTTCTACGTAGCCTCTTAATAAGCATGAAAAAGTATGTACAGTGGCCTAATAGATTGTCATTTGAGAAGTCTTTGTTCATTGATTTTGCTAACCAGCAACCCTGAAGGGCAAGCATCAGGGTGGAAGGAAATAGCTGAATTCACTTTTATTTTCTGCCCCCTTCCCTAGTACTATTCTGCCTCCCTCCCTCCTTCTAGTCTCTCTACCCCTCCTCTTCCTCCCTCCCTCCCCTTTTGAGACTTGCATATCACTTGAGGGAACAAGCAGTTTGCTTTAAGAAGGTTTCCAGGTGATTCTGATTCACAGTGACATATGAGATCTTAGAGGAAGTCTGGCCCATGCTGGCTATATGTCTGTCCTCTAATGTGTTATTGGAGTGGATATATGTGAAGGTCCACAATTAAGAATAATGATAATTTATTGATATTGATGGTTAAATTATATATGTTGTCTATATCTTAGAGCCATATGACAGAAATACTATGTAGTTAGGGTACTGTGATTGTTGGACTTTTTGAAAATTTAATATTTACTACTATTTAAAATTTCACTAGTGTTTTGCCAGCATTTGTTCTGTTGAAGGGTAGTAGTAATGTAAAGTTCATTAGCACTAATGTTTAGCCTGGTTATCGCATTCTCTTGCTTAGTGGTTGTACTTGTGTGAACATAATAGATAGGATAAGGAAGGAGTAGAAGTAAAGAAATATTGGACTAAATCCTACAAAAATATTTATAGGGATCTATCAGTAAGATCTGGTTTCTGGTTTATCAGTAGTATAGAATTTGTTTTGGTCTTTGGCTCTGTGCTGCATGGCCCATCAATGTTGCTGATTATCTTTCCTCTAGCATTGAATGTTAGGATCTTAGAAATGTTGAAGATAATGAGGTTTTCAACAAAACTTCTATACCCTTTAAAGATGTAGTGGTTTTTATTACTATATCGATAACATTTACTTGTGGAGGTTTGACATTTTTTAAGTGTTGAAACAAAACAGGTTTTTTCATGTTTACATACCAACTGAAAAAGACAGATTATTTTTTAAGTTTCCTGAGGCAGAGTTATTCAAATATTTAAAAGTATTTGTTTCATGCATGGTATACCACATTGGGAAGCAATATGATTAAAACTTGCAGCGTTGGATAGAAGTGCAGTAGAAGAAAAGCAGTTGGCCCCCAACCTCTGGACAAAGCTTTTTGATGAATGGAATTTTTCTGATAGGTGTTTGGCTGGTTATCTGAACGCTGCTGTGGTAGTCTTACTTAACATGCTCATGAGGCCTAGGTAGCCAGAACATATTAGTTAGGCCTTTAAGTTCCATTGTGTTTAAAATAATTTACGGATGGGATTTGTTAGGATTTATCTAAATCTGTTTTTCAGAAAAAAGTATGAGTTTAGTAAAGGCCAGTTAGAGTAAGGTCCTTTCTAAATACCATGAGAAAAGGAAAGATAGTTTTTTTGAAGTCACCTTTTACATACTTATTTCCATTTATTGACATTGGTCACTTTCCTGCTTTACAGATGCAGAAAAGAGAAAGTACATTTAGATGAAATTAATTTAGTAAAATGAGCCTAGAATAATATGTGGTTGCTCCCAAATGTAACTGAAAAGAATTTTAGGGCATTACAAAATTAAGCATTGACCAATGAAGTATACTATATTACTCTGAAAATCTTTTCTAAAATTAAGCATTTTGCTAAAAAAAAAAAATTACAAGAATTTCATTGCATATGTGACTGAAAAAATGATATAAATTCATCATTCATGCATAAATTTGACAAATATAACCTTCATAGTTGGCTGGTATATAATCTTAAGATATATCAATGTATATATCTTAGTTACCTTAGTACACTTCACAACTGTTATCTCAGTACATTTCACAACTGATATTTTGTATTCAGACTGTTTGATATTCTGGTGTATTTTATAGAGAGACTTTTTAATAAAGTACAAACAAATGGGTTATAAAGAAGATTCATGAACATGCTCTGTAGAAATACAGTAAAAATTCATTGATGCCAATCTTTCACATGCTGGATTGAAACTTCTGGATTGAAGCATTTCTGAAGCAAACTGATGGGAGAAAAAAATTTTTTAATACAATTCTGAGCAATCATTTTATTTGCCTGTTCACATGCAAACAATGTAATAGGAAATGATTTTTTTCCCATACATGGCCATTCTAGTGATTGGTAATAGTAATAGTTCATGTGTCTGAAAATAATAAAATGGCATTTCTGTTGAATTCTTGGGACCAAATTCATCAGGTCAAATTATCCTTTCCCAACAAAGACAAATTCATCAAGTTTAATTTTTATCTTTTCAAGTATAAATCATTAGATTTTTTTTTTCTCAGGCAAGATCTTTAAACAGGTAAATAGTTTGATAGATGCATTCAGTCTTTTGCAGAGGAACTAAATAGAGTCAGGTAGCATTGTACACTCCTAGTCAAAGGGTAACATTAATTGTTATATTGTTATGAGGATTGATTATAGAAGAGTAGCAATAATCTCTTATTGTTCAAAAGATTGAAGATGAAAGAAGTCCTACCCTTTGCTGTCCCAGAATATTTTTTTCTATTGAAATCCTCTTTTTCATATTGTCATTGTTTCTTGTGTATTTTATGACTTCATTTTTCTGATGAGGTGAACAAAAATCCTAGGTTAATTACATAGCATTTTTAAAAAATCGTTTTCTCCTAATTACCAACCTAAACTTAATAGTTTTGGTCAGTAATTTTAGACCTAAGTACTGTAACTTGTCTAGCTTCTATAAAGTCCTTGTGAGCTCACCAATGAAAATACAAGCTTGTAATTTTGAAAAATTTGAAATATAGCTGAATCCTGAATGGTTTGACCACATTACTTAATTCAAATAAACATAGAAATTAATTTTGAGTGCTACATTTGAGAATAAAATTACCGTGAATAGCTATGTCAACTGGATGTCTTTTAATTCAAATAATGGCTTAAAAATTCTTAATTGTTTTTAATAAAACAAGGGATTTGATACAAAGGAGTATTGATTTCCTACAGTATTCCAGTACCATTGTGCATACATCTCTGATGTATGAAATTGCTTTGAGTGGTTAATAATTCAGGAGAATTCTAAAGATTTTCGTTTTGCATTTAGAATGTTGTATTTTTCACTTGATTACTGTTGAAACACTAGTCAGTACCAAACATCAACCATTCCTGAAAGGTAACTGCACTGACTCAAGCACTTACCTCACATGTTTAGTTTCTAATATATCTTTTCTCATGATTTCCATTAAAAATTGCCATAGAGGAGGGGGGAAGGAGAGTAAAAATGATCAAGATGTAATATGTACATGTACTGATTCCCCAAGAAGAATAATTATGTATCATAAACATATTAATAAAAGTAATTGTCTAAATTCAAAAAAATATGGTAGTCATTGAAAAAATAAAAACTAAGTGAAGCTAGACACAAAAGGCCACAGTGTATGATCACATATGAAATGTCCAGAATAAGCAAATACATAGAAACAAATCTGCTAAGTGGTTGCCAGGGGAGAGAGGAGTGACTTCTTAATGAGTGTGGAATTTTCGTTGCAGTGATGAAAATACTCTAGAATAGGGTAGGGGTGATGGTTGCAAACACTGTGAATGTATTAAGTACCACTGACTTGTACACTTTTAAGTGGTATTTTTAAATCCATCACCAAAACTTTATTTAAAAGAATGTTGGTATTTGAGGTTATTATCATATCTAAAAAGTACAGTGTTCTGAGACTTGTGAAATGTACAAGCTGTAGTTTAGAATGTTTCATAACCAGTAATGTGATAAATTTACTCAGTTAAAAGTCCCAATAAAATTAATGAGTCCTGTCATAGAAGTACTGATGACAGCAACAGACATCTGTAGTTCTTCAGTTTCCTTATAGTTAATGCAGTTAGAAAGAGTAATCAACTTCAGTGTCAGTGTTTGTTATTCACCTTTTGCACATTATCATGATTTCTCGTGGCACCTCACAATCACACTTTTAAAAGATACATTTTTAAAATCATCTTTTGAAAAAACTTGTATAATTTTCTGGGTTATTTTTTATAGTTTTATACTTTGTGCAATCAATTATGTATTAGACAAAATTAAACTGATGCATACGTTTTGGACTTTTACTGCCTTCTGGGGAAAAATCTATTGACTCGAGTTTGGTGAGGATTTTAGTCATTGTTTCTTATTTTGTATTTGGTGAAGTTGAAGCTGAGTGTGTTCACTGTTTCATCAAGCATATATTGACCACTTATGCCAGGTGCTTTGTAGGTTTGACTCTGAAAGGTCGTTTTACCCCTAAAGCTTCACAAGTAATGTATTTCTTTCCTACCTGTCATCATCTAGTAACTGCCAGACACATGGCCACTTTTATCTTGTGCCCATTGTGCAATGGCAGGTAGCTGGGGAAAGTCTTACTGGCATCCACATAACAGGTCATTTTATTCACTTAATTGTTAAAATTCTATGGTGAGGTTACTTTTTGGTGAGCATTCAGATGAAACAAATATCTTCATATCCTTTGCCCACTCATATAAGAGTGTCCACATACCTCTTACCCAAATATTTTTGTTACCAGTTCTCCAGTCATGTTCAAAATCCCTGACCATCCAGCGAGACCATTGGCTATAGTCCATGAATTGATATCTAACTCAAAATCTGGTCCTTTCTCTTTCCACATAAATTTGCACAAC